TCAGTCGCAAATTGTGGAAAGATCCCATATTTTGGTGTATCAAAATGAAAATGTGCGTTGATAAAAGAAATTTGTGTTACTATTTTTGGGGATTAATTTCTCGGTAAACCAGATTGATCTATTGTCAATGAAATAAAACATTCCAGCCAATAAAATAAAAATAAAAATTTTTGTTGCTGTTCCTTTAAATTTTACGGGTGATTGCAATTATTTGGGATCTTTCCCGCATTACGTCTGCTGCTGCAATTTAACCGTGCACATACATAATTGCGTATGAAACAAACGAGCAAACGACATACATAATTCTGTCTCTGTTTATCTGTATCGGTTGCCAGATTTCAATTCTCAGTGCAAATTAATGCACTATTCAAAAATCTTAACTCAAATTTCGTTTTAAAAATGTGAAATTCTTCACACCGACACATTTCCAGGAAATTTATCTGCATTTTGTTCCTGAAGAATCAGTTAACGTGAATATTCAATTATGTATTATGTAACTTCAATTTTTCAGTCCATGCGACATAACGAGTAATAAAATTTAAAATAGTGTTGAGCTTTCGTAATCAGTGGAAACTTTCTTGGAGGATTTGACGTTATTTTTTATTTAAATTGTCAACATTGAAGATTCAGGGGCAACTGTTACTGAAAATTCACAAAATTTTTAACAATGTGTGTGGACTACTCTTTGCACAATGCAAAATCAACTTTTGTTACACACCGGTTAGTATCAAAATATATAATTTCAAATCAGTCTATTAACGTCAACAATACGAACAATGTCAATAATTACTGAAGCATTCTGATTGATTTATCATCTAGATAAATGTTTACTTCAATTTATATTTCGTTTCTGGAATAGTATTTTTAAATCGGCGCCTTGCGCTCGCGGTTTACTCATCAAAACAACGAAATCTTTTGTTTATTTCACGATGCAGTGAGTCAAGAAATTTCTACTATGGAATTTCTTCTAGTAGTGCAAACAGAAAACGAAATACAAAACTACTTTCTAGAAATAGCGTGAGGATACAACAATTTCAACAAAAAATTCAAACTGGATTTTAGTGCCTGGATAGAGTAGATCCGAAAAAAAAAAAAAATTATCAAAACCTAAATTTCAATAAATTTCGATAATCGGGCCACGATATCTGGGTTGCAGTAATTTTCAATTTCGAATTGCCGCGGAGATAATTTCATTTCAGAAAATTTCGCGTACCTCTGCGTCCTCACATCATATAAATCCCTTTGACCGGAAATTCCATTAACAAATTTATATCTCCATGCACTCGGGGGTGTAAATTTTATCCCTTAATTTGAAACTCGATTCTTTTGAAGGTCCATCGAGGTTGTTGTGAGTGTTATCTATTCCGACATTTCGTTCATTCAACAAATGAAATGGTAATATAAGCCGTACGATTCGTAACGTCATACCAGTTTGGAACATCGAAAAATGTATCGAAGCAGTTGAAATCGATGACCGAGAAGATATCCCGCTATTTCGATATGAAAAATTGCATTGAGGCGGCATAAAATATAAACTATTTCCACCATATTCCAAAGTGCCCTCAAAAAATAGTCATTGAATTTTATTTTCAGTAAACCGATCCATTACTAGCACAATTATTTCCTTCGATATTTCGTTTAAAAAATCGGGATTAAAATAGGTCGAATGAGCCCAAAATCAATTTTATTATTGACGAATGAAGCGATTAATTGAATATTTATTTCTTTCGCTAAATAATTATGACTAATTAGATTGAAATTGGAATTGGAGTTGTGAGAGATGAAGTCCTCGACATTAGCCCATAATGAGTCCCAAAAATAATGACCCCGATTTGATTTTTCAGATAAATTATCTGATCGATAACGATCGACAGATCCCGTTAATTTCGAGAGAACGGCTGAAATAATTCCGATATATTCCCAGCATGAGTGAAAAATTTGTTCCTCAACCCATTAATAGCGTGATTTAATCAATTTAATAATCCCTAAATTGACCGATTAATTTCATCCACTATTTGATTAAAAATAACGAACAACGCAGCCCCACAAAGTCTTCAAAATTTCCAATATAACTCCAGTACGAGCCCAGAAAAATCGTGACCCGGATTTCAATACTTTAAAAAAAAAAATCGATCAAGACTGATGGTTCCCGTCAATTTCGAGTAGTCTATCGAAGCACCAAAACCATTTGCCGAGGGATATGAGGCCGAAAAATACTCACTTAATGTGTCAAGTCCCTCGGTGTAGCGACAGAAACCAAACACTATATACCCGTAACTGAAACGTCACTTCCAGGAGAAGTCGACGATTTTATCGGCGAACTTTCGTATCACTGCTGGATGATTTTCGTAACTGTGCGATTGTGGCCGGAGTGATGTAAACACGTGATGATGATGTTGGCGATCCGGGCCGGACCGGCCGGCGGGATCGCCGAATCCGCTATTGCGGCTCGACAGAGAACTGTTCGCTTCTGTGCCCTAACTCAGCAACACCCCGACCTTATATACTCCATCCCGGGCCCCACCACGGGCCCCTCCACTCTAGGGGAGGTCCTGGGAAAATATCTCGCACAATGACGACGTACTCTCCCCCTCGGTAAGACGCCTCAGGGGTGGGGCAGCCGAAAAAAAAAGACAAGACAGTGGCTTATGTACGTTACCTGTTCCTCGGGGTACGTTGTGCAACGGAATTAGGGAGAATTCGGTTCGCACGTTACCTCGGGTATGGGAATCCTCACCAGGTGCTCGTATATGTGATTTCCATCCATGTCATCTCGGGGTCAAGCACCGATTTATTTTCCTACCGCTTGGAAATTTGGAACAATAATCTACGAACAATCATCCCTATTCTATTCTTCTACTCTTGATATTAACATTAACAATTTTTTTCATTTCTCTTTGCTTCGAAAATTATCTGACAGATATTGCCGCCAGATTTTCGGACAGAATTCTGTTGTTTCGTCGGTACTTGTAGTTTTTTTTTTGTAAATAGGCTAGTATTTCTTCGGTACTGTATTTGAGGGAAAGAAAGGCCCATTCCAACTCCCTCAAAGGAATCTCAATTATTTTTACGACTCTACCTCAGCCGAAATTCTCGGGAAAAGCCCCTAAAATAAATTCTTTGGACAAACCAGGCGAGCCTATCACCCCTCCAAAACTAATCTGTACGTTTTTGAAAAACCATTAAAGAACAATAACCGACAAGTTTTCTTTGTTATGTCGCTTTGTCGCATTTCCCATAAAATCTGAAATGGAGTGAAGGGGGTTGTATACGACGCAGTAGCCTCAGGTGACGGATATGATTTATGATTCGATACTGACTTTTACAGTTTACCATAAAAAAAAATCTCTCCAACGAGAGATTTCCCGGGCTCGACTGCGCCCTCCGCTTGTCAATGTTTATTCAACCTTTTTAAAAATGAAATATAGAAAAAGTTTCATTCGTTCAACATCTCCACGAGTTTATATCACCAGAAATTAGAATTATGGAGAACCTAAAATTTTTAATTGGCAATTCGTGTGATGATTAATTATATATATTATATTTCGCATTTATGGGGTATTTTTGTCTTATTTATTATGTCTACTATATTTTTCATGTTGAAATTGTTTGAAAAATCGATAAAGCTGGTGTACGATCCAGTCCCGCTGGTTTGTCCCCACAAATTTCAGCCGCAAGGATTTTACAACCCTTTCGAGGGTTATGAAAACCGTTGAGACGAGTTTCTTATGCATATCGGCTTTCAGTTCTCTTTTTTTACGACGTGTACCGGTGTGGATCATGGAAATTGCGTGAATCAAAAAGAGTCCGGGAATATGTTTTTTTTTTCTAGTTGCATATCGTCTTGGGGATGATCTTGCACCTGGACTTGACAGGATTAACGGTTCAACTCTTTCGAGGGGCACAAAGAGATAAACGAAGAAGGGATTTAAAGATGCTATAAACATTTCTCTTTACTGCAGGTTATTATTACTCCCATTCTTGTCAGGCAGTCCTTCAGCATAAACATTCACCCGGGATGAGTTATAGTTGAATTATACTCCAGTTCAGACAGTTATATCTCGAAGAAAAAGATTGTTTAGCAAGGATTTTAATTAAACTCGTTGATCAATTCAAGTAGCTTTTATTCAGTACATACTTTCTATATTTTCTTGTCAAATTGGAAAATATTCCTCGACTCTTATCGATTCGCTCAATAAATTTTAGCTTTAACTAGTGCTGACGGCGCTCCTGGTCCAATTGATTTCTAGATAACCATGAAATTGAAGTGAATCACTTTTGGGGTGAAACAGTGAGTAGATAAAAAAAGTGTTGAGTTCGTCGAGGGGCATAACTATGCGGGTAGTTGACGTACCTTGGGGGAGATAATTCTCTAATAACAGAAGCCTACATGCTGGTTTACCGAAAGGTTTACGTCATCGGTTCTGATAACTCCAAAAAATGAGGGACAACGGGCGAAAAAGTTAATTGATTCAATTATTTATTATTAATGCATTGTCGGCGCGATGATGAAAACGTCAAAGGACCGTTAAACACCTTTTGCACTTATTGTTCTGTTTCTTACGTCATTAATTGAACATTGGGGTGGAGATTTCCTTGTGAGGGAATTGAGCTCCCGGTGTACTGGATTTCACCCTTGGACCGGCTCCCCCTACCCTCATCCCTTGATTTTCTTGTACACCAGTACTTTCCTGCATCTGCCTGAAATTCTCACGGTTTCAGAAGTCTAAATTCTCGGGGCTCCCCCTCCCTGTTTCAAAATCTCTGACTGAAAATTCCGGTACACATACACTGTTTAGGATTTATCAAAATTTCCCGGTGAAAGTCATCGAATTTTTTGATTGTATGAGTTTCTCTTACTCATTTTGAAAATTCAATATGCAGTTCAGTAATTTTTACTGAATATTTCTCCCCCCTGAGGTTTTTCGCGTCAATTAACTGCCAATAATGAATTTCTCAGTTGATTGAAAATAATTATTACTTGAGGATAATTATTTCAGCTTAACGCAGTCTTGGGAAATTTTGAGAACCACCGGAGGGGTATGAATTGGTTGAACAAGTGCATCTCTTCTCTTGGGGGCTGCATTCTCCCGGCATTCTGAAATACAATGGGTTCGGGTGTGGAGAGCAGGTATGCTACCTATGTTTTCCAAATTCTCCCAATACAACACGAAACAATGATAGTTAACTAACACACCTAGTTTCGAGTGCCGAGACGATTAATCATTGTTCCTGCCTAGAGAATTCTTTCACAGCAATCATGAAGAGAAGAAAAATATTTCCAAAAAGTCAAACTCGTGTTTCAAAACACTAGCCTTCAATTGAATTACGAGTGAATGTCAATCACTCTTCGAAGATTCAAATTTTTTTTCACGATTTTTTTTTTGTTCAACCCCCGGATAACGTGTGCACCCTCGTTCGTTCCACCCCGTGAAACCCTCGTTGATTCTTTCCCACTCGTTCACAAAATACCTCCGCCCTCTCAACCAAAACTGTTGGCACCCTATATCGGCATTTGCACCCCTGTTGTTTGTTGTTTGCTCACGATTTGAATTTGAATATTTGTCGAAAACTGATTTTATTTGTTTTCGGTTTCCCGCTTTTATTTTTTCCCCTTTATTTTTTCTATCTCAACCAGAGTAAAACGCCGGATTCTCTTCACCTCTCCGGGAATTTCATTACCCCTATTTCGCGGATAGGAACTGAAATAAATATTCATGTCAGTAGCGGGTGAATTCGGGGTGGATAATTATGTTTTCACCCTGGGCACAAGTTCATCGGCCCTTGTTATTATTCCCGTCAAAAAGTTTTAATAAGGATAACAGTTGGAATGTATTTTGTTATGAGGACTTCGTCGTTACCTGGATTAATTAATACACCCTCCTAAATTCAGACAAGCGGGAAAATTGAAAATTACAGAAAAGTTTAGCCCAGGAAAAATCCGACCAATGACTGCAACATTGTTTATGCCTTGATAAAAAATTATTATCTCAGCGAATTAAATAGAGTCTTTTTGCCCTAGATGATTCTGTTCCGAATATTTTTAGACAGAAGATAATTAGTTAGAGATAATTATCTGTAATTAAATATTTTTTTCGATACTAATATTTGAAGGGGATGAAAAACCGGGTGAAACAAATATCCGTGCAAATTAACGACCATAACGAATGCTCGGTAAAATGAATCCACATATTTAATGTGATGCCGGTAGGGGTGGACACACGCGACTCCCACGCACCCCATGGGGGCCACATTTGCGGAAGTCAGAGTTTAACAGGGGTGTTGTGGACACCCCACAACTAACGTACCATCACTGCAACGACACATGGGGGTGTATTATGGTATTGGAGTCTCGTAGAGGTACTGAGTCGCGTGGCGAATCATCAGGAACTGATGACCACCATGAGCCCTTCACGAGTCCTTCATGAGCTCTTCATCTGGTACTTGAGATAAGTGCGACCATTCCGTGAGAACACGAAAAATTTACTCGACGTGAATAAATTTCATGTGATTTTGCGCTTGAGAGTTGAAAATGAGAAAATATTAATTCCCATTTATTTAATTAATAATAAATGAACGATTTTTGTTCAACCAACGAATTACGCAAATCAAATCTTCACGAGAATAATTTATCCCGCAGTGATGGTCACATCTTGCTCACATTTCAAGCCTTAAAATTATTTCTGAAGCTCCGAATTTTCACTGCCTCCCGTCATCACGAATTCACGTCGTTTCATGCATCCCTCTGGCTTCCCATCCCCACATCCCTCATCCCTCTCACCGTGAATCTCACGTACCGGTAAATCAACTCGTCCTCTACCTAACAAAATATTATTCCACAGGATGTAAAATATTTCTACTAATGTCTGCGAGTCGATTCTCGATATCGATAGAATAAAATCAGAGGGGGTGGATAAACAAAGACCTTTTGCGAGTCCCACGCAAAAAACTGTTCCAAATCCAAAAAATATATCGCGGAATAAACGCGTGGAATGATCTGTAAGTGAAAAAATCGATTACTCATTGAAAAAATAAAGAGGGAATAAACGTGGACACTATCACCGTTATCACCGCCGTAAACATCGATGATTACCGCCAATTATCATCATGTTGGTGACACATGAGCTGATTACCCATTCGCTCAGTAGAAACGAACACTAGGTCGATAAATGCTGACATAACAGTGCAATACAATTGGAATCCATGAATGGAGTAGTTAAACGTCACCCCGGAAATGTGTCGTCTACTCCTGCTGTTGGTTCTACATCTGAATCTCCTGGACTTGTCATCCTCCGAGGATGAGACCCTCGTAATCCTGACGCTGTCACCGGCGGAAGAAGATGAAACGACACGAAAGGTAAATAATCAATTACTATAATTAATATTTTTTGACATGTAATAAGTTCCAAAAATATTTCAGATAGGAGTGTATTACCATTGCCCAGATTGTGCTCCTGGTGATGTTCTGAGAGTCGCTGACGAACACCAGATCTTCGAGAAAATTATCGGAGACCCCAGGGGTTTCCTGAGGACCGACCTTCGAGTCTCGCCGGAAAGCTTCAGTAAGTGGATTTCAAACAAGAATTCAATCACTGGAGTAAGAGTGGGAAATCAATTATTGAGACAGTAAACAAAAAATGAATCGATTATTGTTATCCCAAGTAATTTATACTTGAGGGGGGATGAGATGTTTAGCGCTAGAAATTCATCTTGTGATGTCAATAAGATGACTCACGTTGCAGGTGATATCACTGCAACGATTCTTCGTAATGGAGAGTTGATATACTCTAGTCCTGTGATAGATCGCGCCAACTGGATGCACGATAATAAATCTATCCTGAAATATCTCTCCTTGCCACAACTTGTGATACCAGGAACCCATCAATCCGGTGCATACGATCGACCCGAGACCCACGGGATATGGAATCTTTGTCAGGTTTGTTCCTTTTGAGAACGGAATCAGAATGGGAGTAGAAATATTCAAGATAATTCATGTATTGCACTGTCATAGGATCTGTCGATAGAAGATCAATTGACCTTGGGAATTCGTTACATCGACGTGCAACCGTCTTGCAAAAGGATCGAAGATCAATGCCAGTCCTTTTTCATGGAGTACTCCTTATTGGAGATGCTGCCCATGGACGCAGTCTTCTCTGAAATAAAGGGTTTCTTGAATCGAACTAATGAGATAGTCATTCTCTCTTTGAGTGATTTCTCCAGTGAATTCCAGAGTGACGAAGATCACGCAAGATTCATGGAATTCATCAAGCATGAACTCGCGGACGATCTCTTCTCTTTCAACACGACTTCCCACGGGTGGTCAACACCTTTGGGCAAAATCTGGAAAGCAGAGAAGAGACTTATCATTTCGTATAATTACGGGGGGCCAGTGGATCCAACTTTCGGAACTGGAGTTCAACCGTTCTGGTGCAACTGTCAGAGATCTGATGATCTCCATGTCTTTTTCGCGGATCCGCAGAAGCGGAAGAACTGGTAATTATAATTATCTCAATATTTTATTTTTGATAATAGAAAAATTCATTAGTTTGTTATTTTCATTTATTGTGTTGCTATATTGAATTTGATAGGGCCAATAGGAAAATTCCTAGTGTTGATGTTGTTGAGTTGATTCCTGGCTGGCAAACGGTGGTCCCTCAAGACTCCTCGAATTCTGCGGAGTCCTCTCCTCCCTTCAGTTTCAAAGCCTGGACCGAGGAATTCTCCCCGAAAGTTTGCGAATGGTACCACGAGCAGTGGAATGCCACCTCCAATGTCGTCGTCGTTGACTTCTTCGAAACTACTGGAGTTGTTGATCTCGCTGTTCATTGGAATAAAAAAAGGGGTGAGGATACGATGAAGAAAATCACTTCGGCATAATAAATATACCTGAGACTAAAAAATACATGAAATATTCCCTGTTAAATAAATTAAATTGAAATCTATTTTCCATTTGTTTAAATACAAGAGATTTCTGGTGACAAATAGAAGTACAAATTGTTTTTTTCGACACGAGGGGATTTCACCCTCTCGAAAATGTATTAAAGTTCATGATGGAAAAACAATGGTAGTATCTGTGAATGGTCATTGGTGCGCATGAAAATGAAGAGGGATACACTGTGTCATGGGAAAATGGGTGCGGGTTATAACCCAGAGAAACGGTTTTGCGTCCGGATATCAGACTCGCACGGCTCGCTGAATAATTCATTGAATCCGGAACGCGTTCAATGCTTATTTACATAGTTGGGCTGATGGTGCTATTTGAAATCGTCATGGACGGCTTGAGCGAGAGCGAGAGTTGAAATTGTCACGGGACTCCGTAACCGGAAGCTCACGTGAGAGTTTCTGGACAAAAATATCAAAATTCAAGCAGCATTGGGGTTCCACCATTTCCACGGAAGTTTTGCTCTCATTTACATGTGAAATCCAGTCACCGGAAGTTTCGGTGTCGGTCAAAGACCATTTTAATAATTTTATATTCATAAACTGATTTGTCTGATTTTTTTTTTACTGAGTGACTGCACTCCCGTGTAAAAAAAAATTGTAGAAGGTATATTTTTTCCAAATTTTCAAAAAATTTCGGGAAAATTTTTCAGAGAATTTTTTTTATAATTTTTTAGAAATTTTTGCGATTATAATTTTCTCTTTTAATTATACTATTGTTTTCTTCCTTTTTTGATTTTTCAATATTCTCAAAAAAACGCCGTCTAAATTATAAAAAAAACTTTCCTATTCAAATTTTTGAACAATTTTCCAAAACCTTTCCCAAAAATAAAATTGTTTGGCTTTCCGGTTTTTTTTTGTTTCATAAAAAAAATTCTCTGGAAAGTTTTCCCAAAATTTTTTGAAAATTTGGAAAAAATATTCCGATTACATTTTTTTACCCAGCCTGACAAGAGGAAATTATAAAATTTCCACTGACCCCACATTTTTCATGTCCGAGTATTTTTTTATTCCCAAAACTAATTCCAATTATTATATCATTGAAAATTCTTTCAGTTTAATATACTTCAGCGCTAACTAAACGTCAGAATAAATTGAACTATAAATTCGTATCAGTGCAGTGGGTAATGGGATCTCGAGGTTTGTGGGGTTTCTTACCCTCGTCCGATGTAGTTCGTACAAATCATTCGTTTTTCAGTCACTGGTAAATTCAAGAGTTCGATAAATTGACAGTCGTTCTTTTTTATTTATTTATTTCGTTGGGACTTCGGTGATGCTCTTGAATGATGCATTCACGTGGTGCTGCCATATCCTCGGCGTACTTGTATTTATTGACAGTATTATTGGTATCCTACGGAATTTATGAGGTATACCATCTGGAAGTGAATCCCGAGGAGTTTGCAGTCACCCATCGGCAGAGAATCGATGCCAGACCCAGGGTCTTCTTCAATTTCTTCGTACAAACGCATATCTTGGAGAAGGTTAGTCTCTTATTCCCCCATTCTCTTATTTGTTACATAATACGAGAAATCTGGTCCAAGCATTTATTAACAAAAAAAATAGGATAACCGGGAAATTTCTTATATTCTCTCCCAGAGGGGAATCCGCGGTAAATAACCATACGAGGAAATTGTATATATGAATATGTGACATGTCCGTTGGGATTTTGATATCCAATATTTTCGACTGAGTAAATAATTGTTTTTGTACTCGCCCGGGGGAAAAAAATTGTAAGCGAAATATTTTTTTCAAATTAAAAAAAAAATTTCGGGAAAACCTTTCAAAAAAATCACCTTTTCGGAAAACAAAACAATTTTATTTTTTGGAACGGTTTTGAAAAATTTTTCACAAATTTGAATAGGAAAATTTTTTTTATAAGTTAGATGGCGTTTTTTTGAGAATATTGAAAAATCAAAAAAGTAAGAAAACAACAGTATAATTAAAAGAAAAAATTGTATTCGCAAAAATTTCTAGAAAATTATAAAAAAATTTTCCAAAACATTTCCAAAAAATACAATTGCTTTGTTTTCCAATTTTTTTTTTTTGTTTCAAAGGAAACATTTTCTGACAAGTTTCCCAGAAATTTTTTGAAAATTTGGAAAAAATATTCCGATTACAATTTTTTTTTACCCGGGTGAGTGGAATGGGTTATCATTTGAAAGAGACTTTGATCCCACCTGCTATTTTCTCCCTTAAACAAACGGTTCATGGGCTTTGAGGCAATTAGTCGATCGTTGAAACAGTGAAATACAACATTTGGAGTTTGAAATGGTCCGCAGTTTCAGCTCAATGTCCAATGATAACATTATAGCGTTTATTTTATTGCATCGACGACATCCACTGTCGGCAATCCATTGCACAGGGGTTTACGAGGGATTTCGGATGCGAGACCACTGACAAATTGAACACGGCTCTTGTCAATATTTCGTTCCATTCTTCTATCCCCATTTCCCCATTTATGAATAAAAATGATTAAAACTCGAATTCGATTCGGAGCCGAAATTGTACAGCGTTCGATTTATCATTAGGAACGAATTTCAATTTCGGGGATGTAAATTGTTTCAGAATTTTTTCTGAATATTTATTCCTGTGTATTTTTGCATTTCGAAGGGGAATTGTTATCGGGATGACCATGGGGGTGGGTATCCTGGGAATATCTCAATAGTCTCATTGAACCGGCGATCGAAGTGTTTCGCAGGCACAATGCGGGTTTAGACTCGGTACATGCTCTATATACGGGTACATGCCGTCATTCATGATCCGTTGGGTTGATCGCTCACATCACCGGAAGCTTTCCGAAATTACCAATTACCAAAGCCCTTTAATGTTCGTCGCGATGCACTTTACGAGGTGATTACCATGTCAAACGACTCGATTTCTCGGCCACACGCTAATTTTTCAATTCACTGAACAGCCCACAATGTCGATTTCAAATAAATGTCAATGTAATTACGTTTAAGAAAAGTCTTTTGCAACACGAGTGAAAAAAATTGTAATCGGAATATTTTTTACACATTTTCAAAAAATTTCGGGAAAACTTTTCAGAGAATTTTTTTTTATGAAACGAGAAAAAAACGGAAAACAAAATTATTTTATTTTTGGGAAAGGTTTTGAAAAGTTTTTCAAAAATTTGAATAGGAACATTTTTTTATAATTTAGATGGCGTTTTTTTCGAGAATATTGAACAATCGAAAAAGTAAAAAAACAACAGTATAATTAAAAGGAAAAAATTATAATCGCAAAAATTTCTAGAAAATTATAAATAAAATTTTCGAAATAAATTTTTGAAAATTTTTTCAAAACATTTCTTAAAAATACAATTGTTTTATTTCCCGATTTTTTTTTGTTTCAAAAGAAAAAGTTTCCGAAAAGTTTTCCAGAAATCTTTTGGAAATTAAAAACAAATATTCCGATTACAATTTTTTTTTACCCGGGCATTATATAAATTTAATTGAATCCCACGAAGAAAAATGGGAAATGGGAAAAGCGGCGGGAGGAAATAGTGAAATGAATAAAAATGAATGCATTCGTCCACTGATAATTATTCTATCCAGATAATCTCTCGATTTGATTTCGTCTTTCTCTTTACGCTCAGCTTTTCCCCAGTTTTTCACGGCTGAAAGAAGCGGATTCCCGGGTTCTTGGGGTCGGTAAATTTTATCGAGCCTTCTGGAAGCTTCCACTACTCGGTAAAACACTCGGAACGTTTCTCTGATCCAGATCGCAATACCGTCTTCATCAGTTTATATTTTTTTCCTCTTCCCGAGGTGAAACAGCCAAGATACACTTGATGGTGACGGATTACAATCCCCCAAAGTTCCTAGCACTGGAGTCCGAGGATCAGCTGATCAGACAACGAGTGGAGATTCGTTTCCATCTGTATCACGATCGGACCATCCTCAACGTCACAATCTACTCCCGACGAACTTCTGCTCTCTTTCACGTGAGTACATTTTATTAATATTTTTCCACGGGTATCGAGGAACAATTATTCTCACAATCTGAATAATAAACAATATCCCTTCTTTCTTCATTATGATTTTCGACGCCCAAGGAATCAGTACAATCGAAAATAAATCACTGGAGTTTAGTAGAGTGAGACTTGGGTATAAAAATCCAGCTTGTCTATTTCTTCCCTCATTTTTTTTTCCTCCCCCAAATGCCGGATCGTTCATTCATCCCCTGGAAGACGCCTAATCCCCCGCGTCAGTAGCTGCCAACAATGCACGACGCAAAAAGCGTAGACGTTAGCCAAAGAGATTTGCCCGAGCGGAGGAAAAATTAAATGCACGTCCGTTACGTACGAGCGGTGTTTCTTTTTTTTTTTTTATTTCTATTCTGTAACTTGGGGTTGTACGCTCAACGGTTACTTCTCCAAAGGTAAACGTACCATCCCAAAAGACTGTGACCCTTGTGTCTATTCTTATCCGCACGTGTCCCCGCGAGAGTCGTCGTACAAAAGCCCCCAAGACCCTCTTCGTGAATCTCTCAGTCTTCTCTGTTGACGAATCTGGGGCTTGAGGTGGGGCTCCAGGAGAGGCTCCAGGTGGTGTGGGGTCTGGCGGTAGCTAGGGGATTGTAACGCGCAACCACTTGTATGATTTACGGTGCTCTTGCCACTTTATTTTGTTTACAACATCAGTTCATAGCTCAAATAATCCCCCGAGAAATTCATGCCAAGGAAAATCTACCGGAAGTTGCTCAGACCATCAGAAAATCCCTAGAAATATTACTAGAAATCATGTACAAGACCACAAATAATTATGCATTAACCGGAGATTAATGCGCCAATGATTTTTATTGGGAAGCAAGTTAATGGACAAAATTTAATAATGTTTTGGGTTGAAAGATGGGCCTGATCCCCGCGACTTGCTGACCGCACAAAGAGCCCTCCCTTGCAGACGCTATTGAATGCTCTTCTTTATGATACGACAGCTGTTACCCCGATAAATGTCGTTGAAAGGAAATCATTGTCGTTGTGACACGTGTCGCTACGTCATTCCTCCTGAAACCCGCGTTTTCCGAGAATCTCTAAAGGAATGTGCGGTCATAAAACCGCGGATATCGTCATAAACAATGAATATTAACATTGTATTTTTTGACACTTTATTGCGTAATAAAATTTCCATTTTTATTGTTTCTTCCAGTATACAGTGGGAAGAGGTTTGAGACACATCTTCAAAAATGAGTTGAGGAGATCTGCGTCGAGAGTGGCTGGCATTCATAGAGCTCTACAGAAGGATATTATATTTTTCCAATCCGAAAGGTGCATTAAAGGTCCTTGAGTGTGGATTTTGTTGTTGTGTAAAGAGAGAAATAATAAGCTATTTTGTAACCACGATTTTGTAGCCATGGATTTTATTTTATTGCCGATACTTACGTCTTGAGGAAAAAAGTTGTTTTACGAGGTGTGTTTCTTCTGCGGTGAAATTTATTTACCTCTGATTTTTGGGGTCAAAAGAACAGTGACAATGGATTTCTGGCCACTAGATGACTGACCCGAAGTGATATTACATCAATGGACCGGCGGTAGATTGGAATTATCGAATTTTCATCAGCGGGTGAATGTAAAGCCACGTAGAATTCTGTACTAGGAGGAAAATTGGATTAATCTTGTTACCCCAGCATTTCGCAACCTACTGTCCTTTCAGCAGACCAAATTGCCCTTCAATTTGTGCCATCCTGGGTATACGTTGATCTCAACCAAGCAAATTTCCACCCTCCGATGGGATAGAGAAAAATACATACGAAAATTCAGCGAAATTGCGTTTTTTATTCTGAATGCACCTCGAGGTTATATGCAAATTTTGAAATTTCGGGGGATCGAGTTAAAAATTCACTTGTGGAGAGTCAGGAAATTGGAGGAATGGAATATTCAAGCGGTAAGTGGATTTCAGAGGGAATGTTTTAATATTGGATTTTCGTCGTGGGATAGCAGAGAATGACAGATAGAATTGGGAATAAAATAGAATTCGGGAGTGACTAAAAGGGGAATAACCGCGAATTTCTCTATTAAAACCATTTCCGTCTACAAAGATTTAAAAAAAAATTCTCCACTCGCCTCATTAGCTAAATCCCTTCATTACCGACTGATCCATCGTTCCAACCGATTAAATAATTCCGTGATTATCCGTTAAGTGGCGGCACTCATGCCCCAATTTTTCCCCGCGAGAGTGAATTTAATTTCCACTTCGTAAAAATGCGATGAGGAGAATAAAAATGATATTAAAATTTTTACAACAACAATTATTCCGATCAATGAAAAACACTCATAGCAATGTAATTTGGTAGCACAATTGGATGTTCGATTTTCACCGGATGAAATCGGTGTGGGACGAGTCAAATCCAATTAAACTAATGAGATACGCGGGTTGAAAATCAAAGCCGGAGTAAAAAAGAGGGAAAAAAACAGGAAAAATTGGGCGCCGAAAGCCGTAAAATTCGAATGAACCGGGAATACTTGGCAATCGGTATTTCGCCATTATCACTAATTAGAGGTGCACATGGTGCAGACAAAACCCTCGGATAGTATCAGAGCAAAAGGGACACCGGTACAACACATGGGGGATGGGTGAGAGGCCGTTGAGAGGATGGGTTTATATGCGTTGGCTGCTGCTTGTGACATTGATTGATGTTACCGTTCGTTTTACCGCGAAAATGCCCCACCAATTATCTGCCATGTACGTCACCCCCTCCTCGCATTATCGCAGTGAACAAAAGGGACTTATATTTTTTAATAAAAAAAAAATGTAACCACTGAAGTCCCTTGGATGCGAATTATTCCTCATGGACCATAACAATTTTTAGAATGAAAAATCGTTCTCGTGAGTATCGGCAATAGTCGTAAAGACTCTGGGCTATTGAGCTTCATTGATCGTTGATTGATTACACCGATGAACCCTTCGATGATCCTTCTCGTTCGAGGAAACGACCATTAAATGGTCCGAATTCAAGGAACAATGGACAGTCCCACCGGTGGCACAAACGGAATCCACGATTTCGCGATTATGAATTATTGACGATTCGGTATGGGACAAGTTATTCCATCGGTGGTAGGGCATTAACGATCCTGGTGCCTCCAGTCGGCAAATAGCATCCGCTAATTTATGCCACCAGTGTCCAGCCCATACCCTCGGAATTCCCAGTCCACAATGAATACCTGCATCACTGGGTATTTCAGTGGTAATTCGGCTGGCTATTAGTTCGGGATAATTAAAATAACTGCGATTCACTACATATGCCCTCGTTGATTATTAATTCTATAACGATGGCTTTAATCATCGATTTTTTTTACTCGCTACGAATTAGGAAGAATGCCGTTTGTTAATAGAGTATATTGAATCCTCTTCGGACCAATTGCAGTATTTAATTTTCATGATTTTCCAATTTAACGTGGTATCCCGACGATTTAACTATAATTATTGCAATTTCTAGAGAATAATCTAGGTAATCTGGAATTACTTTTAATTGTTGTTAAAATAATTAACATTTTTTCATAATCAATGAGATTTTATTTTATTCGGTGAGTGTTAGAATATCAAGTTAAAATTCATAGAAATATATTGAACTGATTTATGATACGGAGTCACCTCAGAGTTTGTATAAACATAAACAATGGTTTTACAAGAAACAATTGTAGGATTCTTTCATTGGTGACGAATTTTCTTATAGTCTTCGTGGCTAGTCTCTAGTCTTTACTCTCTTGGAAATATTAATAGAGTTCAGACGGTATTCTTCATATTTTAATAAAGAAATAGTGATTAGAATTTATTAACTGTTTTAATTAATTTAACTATACCATTTCCAATATTGAGAGATTGAAAATACGTTACAATATATTATCCTATTTTAGGTGGAATCGCGAACACGATTGGTGATAAGATTTACCGGGTATTCAATAGGCCTTCATAAATTTTCCCTAGGATTATTAACAGTGAAACCTTTCAGCACTTCAGCCACTCTATACCCCACATGCTCGTTCCATCCTAAGCTATATAAATGGCTCTATAACCTCTTGATCCACGGAGGTTCGCGTTACTCATTCTCTCCGTTAGTGATAAAATACGAGAATTATGTTCCTGTTATAAAGCATTAAAAAAAAATGTCTCCAGAATTTTTTTCATCCCCCGCGATGGACTAAAACAAAGGTCTATACCTTATTTTTTTAACTACACATCGAGTTCCTTTGGACTGAATTTTTATTCCCGTGTGGCGAATAAAGGGAGAAATAAATTCCTTCGCACTTCATGTCCGTCAGTTCCTCTTTTACGTCCTCTTTATTCTCCCACTACAATGAAAAACCGAGAACTTTGTAAATAAATTTCATACCGCACTGTTTGAATTCGAAAATAGAGCCTTTATCAATTTTTATCGTCATCCAGTGCTTTGCACAACTCCAGAGCCCATTGTTCGAGGTGTAATGGTCTTTCCATAGATATTTTAATTAACGGATTAAATTGAGCACGAGGGAGATAATGAAAAGTTGGTGACGAGAGTCTGCGAACGGGTCATTTTATTCGACTCGATGGTTCACGCGTGAAAGTACATGCGATATTCTTCTTATCTTCATGTGGTAATAAAACTATAAATTCACTACTATTTCCCCCCCCCTTTTTTACATGAGTTTTACAAAAAACAAATCATCACATAACGAGTCTACCTCATTTTGGTAATTGAAAAAATCAAAATCATTTCAAGTCCCACGCACCAAGGTAGATCTCGACTTTATCGACAAAACCGTTTATGTTAATTCATCTCATTTAAATTCTAATAAATAAATAAAATCCAAAAACTGTAGAATGACATATGATATACATATCAATTGCACGTCAATTGCATTTAATGTTCGGTACTTCCATTACAAAATAAAAAAGTGAATGAAGCCTATACCGAATATATTGTTATAATTAATTTTTTATTTGCAACGGCACTCACATGATCATTAATTTTCAATTTATTCTATCAATTGAATTAATGCTGTAGGTAAAAATTTCTGGTAGATTGATGGTTTGCGTTGATATAGACGATGAGAATTATATGTCGTCAGCTGGGAGTTTGGCGGCTCCTGTAATCCGGCTACTCGGAGGCTAGTTGTTGTGGAGGATCTGAGGTCGGGGGTCACTGAGGGTGCGGGATCCACGTTGACTGGGCGTCCGCACTAAGCTCACCATCAATATGGCCACCCTGGAGGAGTCCAGGGTGGCCAGGTTAGCTAAGGAGAGGCGAACCGGGCCAGAGGGGAAACCCAGCAGCCAAAAGTCTCCGTGGTGGGCAGTAGTGGGATCGCGCCCGGGAGTGGGACCGCATTCGCAGCCTGGTCAATACGATTCGACCAATAACTTTTTGATTTTTTTTTCATTTTCCCGAATTATCCATATTTTTTAGCTAATTATCCAACGGTTATTTACTCCATCCGAATATACTTTTGCAACAATATTTTTCATTGTACATGCATATGTACAGCGCATGCGCCCTCTCATGGCGCCGCGCTGGTATCGGAGTTTGAATTTGTGCGCAGAGGAAAAATGGAAAGATAATTATTAACACTTGGTACTGCATTTTGTTGAAGCTAATTGGTTGAATGGCGATGGAAATATTTATTATTTTATTTGCTCTTTGTTGGTTGTATATTATTTATTTATTTATTTGTTATCAGAGTGAATAGGTGAGAATGGAGAAATAAAATATTTGGTATCCACGATTTTTCCACGCGCACTGGACCTTGCATTATTCCAATATTCAGTTTCCGAACGGAAACTCCAATTTTCACCTGCAATTGATCAATTATTCCAGCCCGATTGAAAATTCCGGAAACTGTTTAATGAATTGCACAGTACACCACGGACAGGAGTTTCGTGGGTAATTTGAGACTCGTTAAAATTGACACAGACTTCAATTAGAGCTTCAATTATGACGAAGTTAATTGATGAGTTGGCGATGAAAAATTTTAACGAGCTGTATTTATATTTTTAATTCCACTAGATTTTTTTTACTTCTGAAAACATTTGTTAGCGTACCGTAAAAAAAATAATAAAATTAATCGTTCCATCAAAACAAAAATGAAAAAATCGAGTGGAAAATAATTTTCGTTAGTCGCGTGGAGAAATAAAAATAGGATAATTTTCTTAACGATTGTTTTGATACGTGTATATTTCAGGAATAATGGTTTCGTTTTCGGCTCATCTCGCTAGGTGACGGTGGGTGGATTCGCGATGGTGTAAAACGCCCATTCTGGAGGATTTAATGGCATCGTAAAGCGATGCTCTCATTTTATGACAACACCAGTGACGAAATGCGTAAAGTGGAATTGGTCCAGTGTCGGGGAATAAAAAATTCCCAGTC